TTATGATCTCTTTGGAATACAGCCCTAGATGTGGTATTGCTGGGTCAAAGGAATAAATATTCTTTAAACACCTATTATATGCCAGGCACTGTGCTAAGTCCTGAGGATACATAATACCTTCTTCAAGAGATTGTTGTGAAAATCAAATGAGACAATGTAGGGAAAGCATTTTGCAAAACTCTAAGCACTACATAAATGCCACCTATTATTTAGGCACCCTAGGATTGGATTCATCTGGCCTAGGTGAACCAACTTAGGGCAGCTAAGTGTTCTTGTTTTGTTTCCTCACTTATCTTGGGTTTTGGTTTTCTCGTTCATTTTTGTCTCTTTCCAATCTGAAGATCTTTGTCCTTTAAAGAAGATGATAACACTAACTCACATTTGTGTAACACCTGAAGGTTTACAGACCAATTGCCTCATAATAAGTCTGTGGAATAGGCACTCACATTCGTCTCACCACTCAACAGGGAAGGAAACTGGCACTCGGTAAGGTTGAATGACATTTTTTCTGTTGTCACACAGTCAACAAGCATTTATTAAACTTTTACCATGTGCCAGACACTGTGTTAAGCTCTAGGGATACAAAGAGAAGCAAAAATATAGTCCCTACACTCAAGGAGCTTGCATTCTACAAGGGGAAACATATACAAATAACTATGTGCATACAAGATATATACAGGGTCAATGAGAGAAGACACATCATAGCTGAGAATAAAAGAGTGGTCTCATAAGGCCAGGTCCAGTTTTCTTTCAAGGAGTTCACAGGTCTAATTAAAACAGAAGGTGAACAGGTCTGCTTTTTCAATGTCATGGTTGTATCATTTGCTCTATCCGGGGCCTGAGCAAGCAGATGAGCTGTAAGAGGCAAGGGCAACTGTGCTCCTGTGTTGACTCATTATTGAAGGGAGGAATGCCTTCATGTGGAGGCAGCAAAGCCTCACCCCATTGGTGACACAACAATCTGAGAACTGCCACCATAGGAACCCTAGAATGGCCATTTGAATAGTCTGTTACCAGTCATTCCATGGTGGTAGTGGTAGTGGAAAGCAGGTCAAGTTCATCTAAGTGAGCATCAAGAATTTTTCCTTTTTCCAGAAGCGCCACTCAAGTGATACAGCAAATTATGACAAGGTCCTAAAAGCCTCTATTCCCTGTGGTCTTGGGTTTCTTACCCTCTACTTCTCCATTTGTGGGTTTGAGGAGCACCCTGGTATTTCTTCCTGAGAGTTTTGAAGTCCAGCGAACAGGAACTAAGAAAGTAGGAATTACTGGTAGGAGCCCTGTTTGTTTTTGGGTAGGGAGTAGGGATAATCCAGAGGCATCGTCTGGTCCATAAAGTTCCTGGACTCTGTTGACTCAGCTTGTGCCTATCTCTGTCCATGAGAAGGAGGAAGGGACAAGCAAGTATTAAATATCTACTATATATCAGGCACTGGGTTAAGTGCTTTACAAATATGAATTCATTTGATTTGCACAACCACCATGGGAAGTTGGTGCTATTATTATCCCCATTTTCCAACTGAGAAAACTGAGGCAGTCAGAGGCTAAGTGATTTGCCCAAGGTCACACCTTAGATATTCCTACCACTGTCTCTATTGCAGCACCTTGATGCCATGGGAACCTATACTTCTTAAAAAGAAGAAAATAGTCTTTCACAGGCTTTAAGCATTGGGGCTGTTCCTCCTTTGTTCCCTCTTCCCTAATATAGCTTTTTTCCCCCTCTGTAAGTAGTTTCTGTTTCCCTTAGGACTTTTCAAAAGCCTGAGCCTATTAGGAGCTTTTAGCCTTCCTAACACCACTCTCTTTTTGTTTTAAAACAGTCCTGAGTTATATGTCCTCACTTCTGCATTTCATTGTGTGTGTTTTTAAACTCTTTACCCCTACCAGCAAATAATCATAAAGATCATTCCACTAAGTTCTGGTGATACCTATGAAATTTCATTTATAGCTGAGCATTAACGTATTGAGTTCATTGGTTTATCTATCACATTCTGTGCATTGTTGTATAGATATTTAAAGCAAGGAGCATAATTTATATTTCTCTTCCTGATGGGAGAGAAAGACAGAGAAAGATAGTGAAAGACAGATAGAAAAAAAGGCGAAAAGACAGAGAAAGAAAAAGAGAAAGAGAGAAAGAGATACCTGTCCTTTTTCATGTACTTAATCAGGTTTAAAAGTTTTATCTGAACATTTTTCTCCTTCTCCATGCCATTTTCAGTTTAAAATGTATATTGATCCAATCAGATCTCCAAGGAAATGTCTCCATTCCTCTGGGCTTCATTAGATTTACCCATGCTATTACAGGATCATATGAGGATCATATTATGAGGATATGTATTTGAGGTCATCTAGCTCAACTTGATTATTTTCTAGATGAGGAAATTGAAGGCCAGAGAGAATAAGTGATTTTTCAAAGTCAAAGAGTAGAAGAACCAAGATTCAAACCCAGGTCCTCTGACTCCCAAACCCTGTGCTCTTTCCACAATGCTATGCTTTCATGGCCAAATGCTCTTCATTCTAATGCCTTAATTCATGGTCCAGGAAGCAAAATCCCATTCACTGACATCATTTTAGTTCACTTTAAACATCTTTCTTTCTCTTCTAAAGTCCTCACCTTCAGCTCTGTCAGATAATCTTCCCAAAACATTGCTATTGTACAAGACACTTTCCTACTCAAAAACTTTCAATGGCTTCCTCTATTTGTGAAATAAAGTCCAAACTTCTTAGCTTGGCACACAGTCCCCAACACTCTGGGTTCAGTTTTATGTATCTCCAACCCAAACTAGTACTTCTCTAATCTTGTTGATATGTTCATTGATCTCCAAATGGGCATTGCATTTCTGCCTCCATCTTTGCTCTTCTCCTTGCCTGGAATGCCTTTCCTTCCACTCATCTGATCTAAATTTCACTTATACTGCCCTAGTCAGCCCACACTTGGAGTTCAATTGGGTTCAATTCTTTCTGCCAAGTTCCAGGACATAAGTTGACATATGTGTGTACTTCTAGATGATGGTGATGATGACATTCAAAGATTAGTTGAAGGAACCTGGGATTTTTTACCCTGTAGAAGAGATAACTTAAGGTAGATTGTCATTTTCTGTGGAAGTAAGAGTAATCAGTGAAACTTGTAAGGGCTCAAATTTAAGGGGAAATTTCCTGACAATTAGCTCTGTCCAAAAGTGGCACGTGCTACAGGGGGAGGTATTAGGTTTTTCCGTCACCGGCATTCTTTAAGCAGAGGCTAGATGACTGTCCATTGTTGATACTGTGAGGGGATTCACATTCTAATGGGGATTGGGCTAGATGGCCTTTCAAACCCATTACAGCTCTAATATTTCATGTTATCTATTCTTCAAGACCCAGCTCAAGTCCTCACTCCTTCATGAAACTTTGTTTGACTGCCCTAATCTCTTTGTCCTCCAGACTCCTCTGGCACTATCTGTACCCATTCATTTGGTACCCCATAGATACTATGTTGTATTTTTATTAAAATCTTTTTATGCTTATTTCCTGGTTTCCCCATGCACAAAGAGGCTGAAAGATAGAGAAATAGATAGAGATAGATACACATATATGTATACATATATAATATTATATATGTATGTATGTATGTATATTTATTTGAGAGATATATATATATGGAGAGAGAGAGAGAGAGAGAGAGAGAGAGAGGGAGAGAATACTTCAGATAAATATGTATGGTATCTCAAACACTTGTATCTTGATGAAATACAGCATGACGTAGTATATAAGAGCTTTCCTTGGAGACTGGAAGACCTAGGCTTTAGACCTGCACCTGGAGGTGCTAGCTATGTGACTCTGGGCAAGACTCTTAAATTTTCTGTGCCTGGGCAATTCTTGAAATCAATGAGCTACAAATGAGTTGTTACAGCACAGCTATGGCAAAGGAAGTTTCAATGTCAGGAATCCCCTACACGATGAAATCAGAGGTCTAGTCCAAAAAAAAAAAAAATCCCCAACACACAGCATAGTGTATTATGTTTTCATGCAGAAGATGTTCAGTAAGTGTTTGTTACTGATCATAGTCATGATGACAAAGCCATCACACTCCAGATCCACAAGCCCTCTTCCCTTTGTCTTGTCACGTCTACCTACACTCTACTTTGGCATACCAAGCCTCACAAAAGCTAATCCCAGTCCACCCAAATTGGTTTATTCACCAAACATTTTCCTCTTCTCTTGTAATGGTATTAATTCCTGACATTCATTCATGTCCACTTCCTTCTTCCCCATTTTAGACACCACCATCCTTACATCCAACTCCAACCCTAGTCTCGCTTCCCTTCATATTATAGAGAAATATCATACATGACACAGAGAATCAGAGAATCCTGGAGTTAGAAGGACCTTTGTTTAGAAAAAGGCATCTAGATCTATTCTCTGCCTTTTGAACTTTATACTTTGAACTCTTGGGTCCTCTTTCACCCCTTCATTCATTCACTGTAGTTAACAGAAATGGACTCTTCTCCTTCAAGATTGCCAATTGTTTTGGGAATTTTTTGTAGTCACAGTGCAAAAGAAAAACATTTCTTGAAAACTTATCACCTTTACCCCTCCTCCTCCCTGGAGATCCGACTTGATTGGACCAAATTTAATAAAGATGCACAAACACTCAAGTTTTTCCATGAAGAAAATTACAGATTGTGTTGCTTCTCCCCCCAGAACCTAAATCCATTTCCCAAAGATCCCTTAAGCTGTCCATTCCTGTCCTTACTCCACTGCCCCACTAATAAGAGGATAATATCATTTAGAACTGAAAGAGACCTTAGATATTAACTCTATTTCTATAGGTAAGGAAAAAGAGGCCCAGAGAAATTGATGTGACCTGCCAAAAGTCACACTGGTAGTAAGTGACTAAGCCAGGATCAGAACCTCAGGCTTCTGACTCCAAATGCAATGTTTCATCTGTCATAACATGAAAACCTATGCCCCCAAAAAACTATGATGTCTGCCATTGCTGCTTTCTTCTTGTCTTGCAGGAATATCACAGAAATCCTCCAACACCCTGTCCATTTGGATTACTTCAAGGAATTCCTTAGAATAAATAAGGCTGAGAATCTACTGAATTTCATCCTTGCCATGCAGAGGGCCATTAATGAATCCAATGATAGATTACAGAAAATTCTCATTGATGCCATCATCAAGACTTTCTTCCATAACAAAATTAATGTTGGTATGAAACCCCAACCCAGCCCCCACCTCATAAGTTTCTCTCCAAATTTCCTCGAATGAGCATGGAGCTCTCTCAATACTTTCCAAATATGGAATTCTGCAAGAAGGACTTATGATCCAAGTTGCATATCTCTTGGTGTCTACAACGATACTAACTCCAGGAAAGGAAAATGTCTATTGATCACATAGACAGACTATCACCATCTATCAATCTATCACTGGGATAAGGGGCTATGTGTAGGGATTGGGGCATTGAGAGATGAAATTTGAGAGGACAGGCAGGTAGGAAAGGAGAAGAGACATGTGGTGAAAATTCAATGAATGTCAAGCAAAGAAACTTCAGTTTAATATGTTGATTAACATGTCTGGCTCTCTTAGACATGTTCCAAGGGTAATTGGAACAGTCTCAGAGAATTCCTTGTCAGGTACAACTTGAGCTATCTCTGAATTTCTTTATCATAAAAGACTGAACTGTTTAAGAAAACTGGTCCCTATTACCAACAAGGTACCAAGCACATAAGACAGCAGGAAGGCAGAGGAAATGCACACTCACTATCCTGCTATTCTAGCCACTTGCCATTGGTTAATATATTGAAACACTTGGAGACATGCTGACATTGGGGAAGTTTCCTGGATAGCCCAGATTATCTAACTTTCCTGAAGCCCAAAGGCTAACTTGATTCTAAATCCCACTCCACAAACAATCAAACTTGCCAAAGGAGAACATAGTTAAATCTAGGCTAATTACCTATAAACAGCAGTCATCACTTTCCTTCTCCTTAAATATCCCAGTAAAATGGTAGCATAATACAGCTCAGCTACAACAACCTTGTCTTCCCTAGCTATGACACTAAGAGAGTTCAGCGGCTGTGGGTTCTGCTACTCTTCCCAGTCATGGTACTACTTTTATACTTTTCTACAGTCTCCTTCCCCTACATATAACAAAACTAGTCATAGACCAATATCTCACACTCTACGTCAAAATAAGTTCAAAATAGATATATGATTTACATATAAAAGATGATACCACAAACAAATTAGGAAAGCATGAAACAGTTTACCTGTCAGATCTATGGATAAAGGAAGAATTTAGGACTAAACAAGATATAGGAATGTTACTAGATGTAAAATGGATAATTATGATTATAGTAATTTTTAGTAGTATTTAATTTTTTCCAATTACATGTAAAGGCAATTTTAACATTCATTTTTTTAAAAAATTTTGAGTTTCAGATTTTTTCCCTTCTTCTTGCCCCCTAAATAAGGTAAGAATTTTAAATGTTATATATGTGCATTGATTATATTAAAATAAAAAGAGTTTGCACAAACAAAACCAATGCAACCAACATTAAAAAGAAAGCAAGAAACTGAGGGAAAAGTTTACAGCAAGTATCTCTGATAAAGTCCTCATTCCTAAAATAGAGAACTGAGTCAAATTTATAAGAATGTAAGTCATTCACCAATTGATAAATGGTCAAAGGATATGAATAGGCAGTTTTCAGACAAAGAAATCTATAGTCATATAAAAATGTTCTAAATCACTACTGATTAGAGAAATGCAAACTAAAACAACTCTGTGGTACCACCTCAAACCTATCACATTGGCTAATATGTCAGAAAAGAAAAATAACAAATGTTGGAGGGGATGTGGGAAAACTGGGACACTAATACACTGTTGGTGGAGCAATTTGGAACTATGCCCAAAGGGCTATAAAACTCTGCATACTCTTTGATCCAACAATACCACTTACTGGGTCTGTATTGGAAGAAATGAAAAAAAGCGGGGTGGAGAACCTATTTGTACAAAAATATTTGTAGCAGCTCTTTTTGTGGAGGCTAAGAATTAGAAATAGAGGGGAATTAATTAAGGAACAGCTAAACAAGTTGTGGTATATCATTGTGATGGAATATTATTGTGCTATAAGAAATGACAAACAGGATGATTTCAGAAAAGCCTGGAGCGATAAATGCATTAATAAAAAGCGAAGTGAGCAGAACCAGGGAACATTGTACACAGTAAGAACAATATCATACAATGAAGAACTATGAATGACTTAGCTATTCTCAGCAATACAGTGACACAAAACAATACCAAAGGACTCATGATGAAAAAACACTATCCACCTCCAGAGAAATAACTGATGTTGTCTGACTACACACTGAAGCATACTATTTTTTCCTTCCTTCCTTCCACCTTTCCTTCCTTCTTTCCTTCCTTCCACCTTTCTTTCTTTCTTTGTCCTGTCTTCTTTCACAAAATGACTAAAATGGAAATGTTTTACATCATGGCACACATACAACCCATGTCAGATTGCTTACCATCTCAAGGAGGGGAATAGCAGGGAAGGAAGGATAGAATTTGAAACTTAAAACTTTTTAAAAATGTTAAAAATTGTTTTTACATGTAATTGGGAAAAATAAAATATTTAAAAGAAAAAAAGAAAAAAGAAGAGTACCCCCTATCAGGGACAAGAGTGAAAACAAGAGTAGGTAGAGATTTTTGTGATATGATGACTGACATATCTTCCAGATTTAAAATCATTTCTTATATCCCATCAATTTCTTATAATGACTTTTTAATTAATTTGATAATTATTTTTCCAAAAAGCTGGGACAATTTAATTTTGTCCTGTGCAGTTTTCATTTATGGTTTCTTGAAATACAGCTCAGAAAAACAGGCTTTTAAAAAGTCCGTTGTGTTTCAAATGGAGCTACCTGACTATGCCTTTAAACCCAAATCACTTTGGCTTTCATTGAATGGTTAACAATAGCCCCCAGCCCAAACGTCAGGGGCTCATTGTTTAGGGTTTGATGGCTTAGAATAAGTGTAAATAACCATTGGTTTCAGTTCCAGCCCCAAACTCTGAGGGTCTTCCCCTCCCAGATTGATATTTTTGTGATGGTAAATAAGGCCATCTTTTATCTCAGTTCTTACCTAGCCTTTAATCATTGAACGGGCATTGCCTCAGACTAACTGAGACTTGAAAAAGACCTTAATTCAGAAAGGCCAAGGTCACCTACTGCATCCTGGGCCATTGTCAGTTGTCTTGACTTATGTCTTGCCACTGGACTTTGACGACTCTAGAGGAAAAAGTGAGGCTGATAACTTTACACAGCTCTGCCTCACTTAAATCCTATCCATGTGCAAGTCAAAACATCACCCTCAGGATGTCATTGGTTCTCCTCTAGAATCCAATACTTAGTTGTTTATTTGCAATCAAGAGATAGCTTGAGGTATCCTTCAGGAGATAACATATGTCTCAAAAGGAATGATAGGAACAAAAAGGATGTATGTTTATCTAGTCAGACTGGTGGGAAAAAGACAGAAAATGAGAAAAAGCATATAGTTCCAAAAATATAGATTTCCTGAGGAAACAAGAGAGGGAAATTTAGCCTATATTGAAAGGTGAGTGAATACAGATGGGTCAGGAAGTCATAAATGGGATGCCAGATGGTGAATTAGCTTGCCCTGTATGACTAAATGGCAGTTTATTGGTCAAAGAGATCTCAGTCAGACTCATCTGCTAAGCTAGACAAAACTATGTCCTCACAGTTAACTACTGGAGTAGAATTCCCAACCTTAGAATACCCTCACACCCTGAGTAAAGCCATTTCAAGTTAAAATGACTTAAAGAGAGAACATGTAGAATAATAGAAGAGTACAGGTATTAGGGAGGTATAACATTTACAAGGTGTAAGAGACATAATTTCTGGGTAATTAATCATTTTATTAATAATGCTAGTATTTATTAATAAAAGGAATGGTTATTTGGTTGTCTCTCTTGGACCAAAGATGATTCATGATGGTGGGCTCAAAGTTTATATGCCCTTGTAAGAGTGGGTGTTCCTGAGGGCAGCAATCAACAAGGAATGGGGATGGGGTGGGGGAAGAGAGTATTACAATGAGAAAGTGGACCCATTTCAATAAGGGACTAGGGAATGTAACTTTTTGTCATTTACTTCTAAATTGTCAGCCCTTGACCAATCTATTCAAAGAATGTATATCCTCCCCCCACCAAGCCTGACCAGAACACAATGGGCTGGGAGTTTCACCTTCCATTAAATTGCTGGTAAGGTTGAGAAGAAACTGAACAAGATTGAGAAGAGAGTTAATTCAATGTCATTATCAGTAATGTCCTTCAGAGACTGAACTTTGAAATAAAGACTTTAGAAAAAGGGGAGAACTATGGATTTCCCCAAATCATTAGTTATTAATATTCATTTCTCTCAGAGACCTAGAGTCAAGTCCCACCTTGGACACATACTATTTGACATTAGGCAAGTTGCTCAACCTTTCAGTATCTCAAGCATGTAAGATTGTCTAAGTTACAGATCAGTTTCTGATTTCCCTCGGTGGAGAGCTTTTCCAGACTGGTATTTCCTTACATTGATGAAATCATAGGCCCTGACCTTTCCATACCTTTTCCCACCTCAAAAGGAAAGAAAAAAAGTCAAAGTGAATGCTAAGGGGACTCAGAGAAAAGGAGTAATTGGACTAGAGTGGAAGTAAAGGTTAGGAAGGTCAAAAGTCAAGGGAGGATGTCTCACATGAGAAAGTGAACTACAGCATTTAGCTATGAGAAGCATATGATGTTTCCTGATTTCTTCCTTCTCTTCCTTTGTATTTTACAGAGGATATCCTACAGTGTACTTCCCCTATCCTCAAAGAAATTTCTCTCATGCGCCGTGTTCCTTTAGCAATGTTGATACAGGCCCAGAACCAAGTCCTGAAATACCTAGAAGAAAAATGGTAAGTAGCATGGGCTGAAGAGATGCATCACATAACATTTATTGGTGTCGTTAAGTCATAAGGTCATAGAATCTGTTCCCATTGCCAAGTTATACCTCATCGTCTTATCCCAGGTCCTTCCTTGTCCATTTGTCTTGGTACCAGTCTCTACAGGCATTTCTCAGAGGATTAAAGTGGCCACAGAATGTGCAGACCGGATCCTAGATTTCTAGACACTTATCACAGACCTTGAGATAGTTTAGCAAAGACAATAGAACAATCTAGGGTAAAGATAGGGGCATGTCCTGATGAATGAATGGCTGTATTTATTTATTTATACACACACCCACACATACACATACACACATAAACACACACACACATGGATATATACTTATAGAGTTTATACCCTTAGAATATGCTCACACCCTGATTGAGGCCATTTCAAGACAAAAAGACTTGGAGAGGGCACAGGCGGATAAGACATGTCTAATTAATAAGCATTTATTAAGCACTTACTTTATGCCAGGCAATGGTGCTAAGTGATACAAATACAAAAGCAAGATCATCACTGCCCTCAAGAAATTTCCTAAAAAAGAATCTCTCTCTCTCTCTGTATAATATACTGTATGTGTGTGTCTGTATATGTGTGTGTGTGTGTGTGTGTGAGAGAGAGAGACGGTCAGGTTATAGATATATATATATATATATATATGTATGTATATATATGTATGCATATGTGTGTGTGTATGTGTGTGTGTGTATGTATATGTATATGTGAGAGGTGGTGAGGGAGGGATGTTTTAATTAGGGAAATAACAGAGGTGGTGGTTATAGGAATTGATTGATCTCTCTTTTTATCAGTGCTGAGGAAAGAGAGTCCTAATCAGAACACCAAAATAGGAACATAAAGGGAAAATGATGATCATGAACCCAAGCCACCACATTTGTGCTATCCTGTCACATCATCTCCTTGGTGACTTCTTTCCTCTCCTTGACCTGTTAGTGATACTGTAAAGGGTAGTCTTGGATAAACCAGAAATGATTGTGGCATCTCTCCCACTTAAATACACCAGCAGCACACAGCCTCAGGATGAAGCCCAAGTGACATTATATTCTTCTAGGAACAGACTCCTTGCTCTCCTTCTTCTCCCTTGTTTCAGTGGCAATACTTTCTCTGCTGTGCTAATGCCTTTATTCTCAAATCACAGGGAGATATTGTACCATCCTAAGATAAACAACAGCTTAGATATCAAACTAGACTTTCTCTTCAGAGTCATCAGTATTGCTAAGCTAGGTACAAGATCTCTCCCCTCAATACCTTCTACTTACCTCATCTCAAAGGCCCAGGCCGTGTTATGTTCTGGTTAGGAAGTCTCAAAACTATGGGAATATAAAACATAGATTTGTTGTGCAAAGTGACCTCATTCTGAGGCATCAGGCCACATGGAATATCTCTCTGAACAACACTACTAGAGGTAAGGAAGTGACATTCATCCCAGGATTGTATGCACATTTACATTACATCCTAAACACCCAACATGTGACTTTTTGACCAAATGTGACTCATCTGACTCCAGGGAGTTGTCAACCTCAATATTTTACTCTCCAGTTTAAAAAAATCTAATTACTTATCACACATGAAGTAAACAGCCAGTGGCGTCTAATCACGTGAAATTTCTGATTATGTGGCTGAACTCTAGACGATGAGCGGGTCCACCTGATCCATCGTGAAAGTATATTCACTTTCATGAAACTGATAAAATTGAAATTCATTCACCTTTAATACATCGGGATTACTGATAACATAGCCAACTATTTTTAAAAAAGAAAACAACCATCGACAATCCAGTATCATACCATTGTACCTTTAGTTCCATCAACCAACCAACAAATTTTTATTCCATTCCTGCTCTGTGCCAGGTGTGATGATGCTATATGCTGGGGTTACAGAGACTAGAATGAAACTGTCCCCTGCCCTCAAACCTACAGACCAGTAGGGAGAGACAGCTTAAAGATATGAAGATACAGATAAAATTGGTACTATGTGATGGGGAAGGGAAACCATAGAGGGTGATGAGGGATCAGGAAAGACTTCATGGAGAACGTGGTCCTTGAGCTGAGCCTTGAAGGAAGCTAGAAATGTGAAGAGGCAAAGGGGAGGAGGGAGTGCCTTCCAGGCACGGGAGACAGCCTGTGCAAAGGCGCTAAGTGCAAGCTGACATGTTAGGCATAAGGAACAGTAAGGAGGCCGGTTAGCCTGGACGGCGGTGTGCATGGAAGGGAATATAGCGTGTAATAAGTTTGGAAATGTGGGCTAGAACTAAGTTGTGAAGGGCTTGAAATGTCAAAAAGAGGATTTTACATTACAAATAAGCAAGCTTTCGTAGTTAGTCCTCTCTTGCATCTATATCAGCTGTCCAAGAATGGTATTTCTCAAGACTTTAGACACAGCCAGCCTATCAGCTCATGAAAGCTGCCTCTTCTCCTATGCCATTCTCCCACACACGCTTTGATTAAGATTCTTAATTTAAGAGTAAAACAAGAAAGCAGAGATGGAGAAAAGCAAGGCTTAAAGGGACGAGATAACTGGTAAATACACCTAAGGCCACTGCTGCCTCAATATTCAGGAGTTACTCTGACATCTTATCTGGATGCTGGTTGGTGTTTGACAAGTGTGTTTTTCCAAATACGTTTAATACCCTCTGTCTCTCGCTGGCAGGTTCAAAACTTACCAAGATATGTTCCCGCCTCGTCTTCAAATTCAAATTTCAGACCCTGAGATACGACAAAGGCAACTAAAAAGGGAAACAAAGATGATTCGCTTACAGCTCAAGAAGGTCAGTGAACAAGATGCAAAATTAGGCCTCGTCTCAACCTCAGCGCATCCAGCTGTTCTCTAGAATCCCATAGGGAAGGCGCCTCTGAAGATAAGAATTGGGCTGCGAAGACACACGATATGTTCAAAGGAACAGTCTGCCCTGATTATGCCAAATGTAGGGTGGTAGATCCTCTGAGTGACCACTGGGCAATCTATGCCAGAGCGGGTTATATGTGTAGATTTATTAGGGTTTGGTTGGTTAATTGGGTTGTGTAAGGGAGTTTACTCACAAGAGGCCAGAGTAATGGCGGAGTAATTTCAGGTCAGGTATTATATAGGAACAACAAAGAAGGCATTGTGCCAGGGACGGCCCAGGGTCGTGTGCAAATGTCCCCATGAGACAGAGCTTCTTTTGCTGTGCGAGGTAGTTTACATTAACTGTAAGACTTGAGGTCACGTTTTCAGGCTCTGGCTCCCACCATCCACAGATGCGTGGATCCCAAACCCTAAAGAAGTCGGTGGGCCCAATGACAGGCCATTCCTTTTCCCTGCCCCTCTCCTCTTTCCCTCACTGCCTGGCTGTATAATCTTGGCCAAGTCACTTTATCTCCACAAGACCTGATTTTTACCACCCGTAAAATGGGGGTGAGAGGTGAGAGGGGCAAGAAAAGACACGACCACTAATATCCCCCTCAGATATTCTGTGATTTCTATGCTCATTTCCTTCCCACTTTCTGCTCCCACTCTCCTAGGCTAGCAGGTTCTGCAGCAGGCCGCCTGCGCTCACAACTCTTCCGTATCTCTCTCTTTCTACAGACAAAAGCATGGATCTACTTGATTGCCATCATCAAGAGCTTCTGCAAATTTCAAAGGGAAATGAAGAAACCAGAAGGCCGCCTCCATTTTGAGGAATTTCTACTTAAGGAAATGAATAATTCTAAGGAAAGTAAGTGTCACTGCCCTTCAGAAATCCTCTGGTTGCTATGGTGACCACCGTGCTCTGCTTAGAGGACCAGAGAGGTAGCCGCAGAGCTTAGTATCAGTCTTCTTTTAAGTATCATAGAATTTGGAGGTGAAAGGGACCTCAGAGGTTACATAGTTCAACGTTTACAAGTTTTACAGGTGAGGAAATTGAGGCCCAGAGACATTAAGTGCCTTGCCCAGGGTCAAAGAGGTAAGAAGAAGCAGAGTTAGGATTCCAGTCTGGGTCTCCAAAGTCAATGAGTACTCCTGGCATCATAGCACACCAAGCCTGTGACTTCCTAGGAAACAAGAGGTGCCCTAGTTCTGCTGGGGAGAAAGCTGTCAGACAGATCTGCCTAAATGTTCACCCATGTCACTCTGCTGATAACAGTTTTGGGTATGTGGCAAGAAGGTTCTCAGCATTGTTCTCCAAATTAAAAAGTCAGAGAAGAAAAAGGAACAAATTAGGGAGCTCCAGGAGCGTTTTCTTTTCCAGTCTTCCAAACAGCAGAATTCCTTTTCTTCTCCAGCACCCTCCAGAAGCCCAGTCTGTGTTTCTACTGTAGAACTCAGAATTCTGGAACAAGGCTCAACCTTCAAACATGGCTTCTGGAAAGCAGCAAAATCATAAACCTCCAGAGCCATATAACATCTCTTCAGGTCCCTATAGCCTACCATGTGATTCCTACTTCTTAATCTGTAAAACTTGAATCATTTCTTCCAGATTACATTCATTCATTCATTCATTCATCAAGCACATACACTATTTATGTGCAATGTGCAAATGACAAAAATTCTAGATAAAATGAAGCAACCCCCTGCCCTCAAGGAGCTTATACTCTTCTGGGAGAAAGCACAATGTACAGAGATAAGTAAATACATGTTGTTGTGGATCAGAAAAGGCTCTGGACTTGGAATACATTAAGTTGCAAATTCAAATCTTGCCTTCTAGTTACTACAAGAAAGTCAGTTTTCTCATCTGCAAAATGGGAATAATAATTCCTGTAGTACCTACTCCACAAGACCATTGTGGGGACAGTGAGAGGATGTCTGGAAAGTACTTTCCAAACCTTATAGCACTATAAAAATGTCAGCTCTTATTGAGGAGAGGATGAGGCTTGGGACAACCTTTTGGGGTAAAAAATATCCAAAATAAACAACTCTGCCATCCCTTAATCATGCTTTTCTCCTTTCTTACTATCTAATTTCCTACTTGCATTTCCTGCTATACTCTATTCAATAATAATAACAGTAATAATAATAGTATTTATAGGGCATTTTAAGCTTTACAAAGCACATTACAAATATTATCTCACTCTCAACAACCCTAGGAGGTAGATGCTACTATTATTCCCCATTTTACAGATTAGGAAACTGAATCAAACAAAGATCAAGATATTGCCCAGGGCCACACATCTAGTGAGTGTCTTGAGACAGGATTCGAACTCTGGTCTTCCTGAGGACAAGCACTCTATCCACTACACTACCTAGTTGCCAGGAAGTCACATGTCTCATGCACAGGACAGATTGTCTTCTTGTAACTTTAATAGAAGAATTAGCACAGCTAATTACATTTTTAAAAAGTTTTATTGATGCTTTGTGTGTGTGCGTGTGTGTGTGTGTTTTAAAATTAGACATATACTCTCTTGTCACAAAGAAAACAGTGAAACAAAATCAACACAGTGACTTGATGTGACAGCATATGCCACCCTCATCATCCTCTATTTTGATCTCTATTGAAAGGAGGGGTGGTATATTTTCCTCATCTGTCCTCTAAACCCTTATCATGATCATTGTCTTTAATCTGAGTTTAGCTACCTCTAAGGAGGTGTGTAACATATATATATATATATAATTATTAAGTAATGTTATATATATGATATATTATTATTATTAATTCTATATTATATGTGTGCTTATTAATAACAAATTATGTAATTATTTTTATTATAGTCATAGTGTCAGAGGCAGTGTGGTTTAGTGAGCAAGAATGTTGGACTTTAAATCAGGAAGATCTGGATCCAAATCCTGACTATTGCTTGTTGGCTATGTGACCATGGGTAAATCACATAATCTTTTGAGACTTTAGTTTCCTCATCTACAAAATGGAAATAACAATACCTCTAGTACCCACCTCATGAGGTTGTTAGGAGGATCCAGTGAAATAATGTGTGTAAAATACTCTCAAACTTTAAATCAATGTCAATCATTCTTCTTCTCAATTACATGCTGGTGGCTCTAGCTTCAGCTAAATATTCATGATTCATATACAATCTGAGGAGAGAGAAGTTGTGGGGTAGAGTGTAGTTGTGTCATTAATCCAAAGACTTACCCTGGGCTGACTAACTTGTCAGCTATTTGTGTCCAAAGGGTTAAATCCTGAGCCTGAAAGAGTGGCTACCCAATAGACCCAAGTTCTGGGTCCTCTATAGTAGTGGTGTCAAACTCAGGTAGAAATGGGGACCAGCAAACCATTCATAAGGATCCCTGTTGGTCACATATTGATTGAGAAAACCACTATCTATGTTTTATGGTATTTTTTATTTATTTTATGAAATATTTCCCAATTACATTTGGACTGGTTCAGTCCTGACTGAGGAGTGCTGTGAGCTACATAGTGTTTGACATCTTCAATCTAGAGTTTCTCCCTTGACTTTAGATGCTTACTATGGACTCCAGGCTCATGAAAGCCTTGGGCAAAGAGATGTTAACTCCGCTCTCTCTTTCTCTCTCTCTCTCTCTCTCTCTCTCTCTCTCTCTCTCTCTCTCTCTCTCTCTCTTTCTCTATCTGTGTGTGTGTGTGTGTGTGTGTGTGTGTGTATGTGTCTTTGTCTTTCAGATATAGTTGCATCAGGGTCATTCAGATATACAACCACAACCACAACCACAAGCACCTGTGTCCTCCAAAAGTCGGGCTTAGATATTGACATGGAAGATTTTGTACTTGTAAAGCGCCGTATATTTGGCCATAAGATAATCATCATCAACTTTCTGGTCAATGACTTAAGTTATTTTATTGAAATAGAAAAGTAAGTTGACACCACTCCCTTCTTTCTTCTTGCACTCCCTCATTACTTTACCTCATTACTCATACCTTTCCTCCGGGCCAGGGTTTTCCTAGACCTAGGCAAAATGGGTTGACTTTCTATATGGTAGAATTTAGAGGATTGCCAGATTGGCCCTTTGCTCAAAAACATCTCCCTCAGTACCCAATATACCTCCTGACGTTTTCATTATTAGAGATTCATTCTTTGGGATTTAAAGGCTTTTCAACCTTCAAGAGTATGCTTTTGTTGTTGTTGAATCATTTCAGTTGTGTCTGACTCTCCATGACCCCATTTGGGATTTTCTTGGCAGATACTGGAGTGGTTTGCCATTTCCTTCTCCAGCTCATTTTACACATGGGAAAACTCTTGACAAATTTTCTAGGGATACAATGTACTAAGGAAGAATATTTAGGGAATACTTCCCTGTCAAGTGTGACAATACAAAACTATTGTTAGCCAGAGCGCATAGTGCATAAACTGAACTTGGAGTCAAAAAGTCCTAAGTTTGTATCCTACTTCAGATATGTACTATCAATGTGACTTTTTGAGCTTATCTTAGCCAAGGTTTCCACATCTATAAACGGGAATAATAATAGCACCCATCTCCCAGTGTCATTGTGAAGATCAAATGAGATAATATATTAAAGCACTTTGTAAAACTTAAAGTGAAATGTTTATCATCATCATCATCATCATCATTATTATTCTGCTATGAGACATAGGTGATTATAGCTAGAGTTAGAAGGCATCTAGTCCAATCTTCTAGAGCAGCTAGGTGGTTCAGTGGATAGAGAACTGAACCTGGAGTCAAGAAGACCTGAGTTCAAATCTGGCCTCAGACACTTAGAAACTGTGTGACCCTGGGCAAGTCACTTAGCCCTATGTGCCCCTGTTTCCTCATTTATAAAATGAGCTGGAGAAGGAAATGGCAAACTACTCCTGTTTTTTTGCCTAGAAAACCACAAATGGGGTCACAAAGGATCAGACATGACTGAAAAACAACTGAACAACAAGTTCAATCTTCGCATGTTATGGTTGAAGATACTGAAATCCAGAGAGAGAAATTACTTGGTCAAGGTCATACAGCTAATAAGTGGGAAAAGCTTGAACTTAAGCGTAGATATTCTGATTCCAAGTTGAGTTTTCTTTCCACCATACCTTAATGCAAGAGACTACCTGTATAAACCTTGGAAAAGTCAATAAATACTTCAAACCACCACTATTTTTGCACCATAGAACATAAAAGCTGTCATTGATCTTCTGGTCCAAACCCTTCATCCAAGAGGAGGGCTGGGAAGGCCCTCCTAAACCCAAAAAGTGTCCCTTCCCACTGTTCATTGTTGCATAAAAATTCATTGAACAGAGAACCCCACCTTCCACTCCACTGTTATAAAGTGTAGAATTCAAATGCCCCCAGAAAAGGTAACATTTTGACTTAAAGCTAACTCACAGCAAGTTAGAAATGATATTTGAGGAATGGTAGATCCCTCTAGGGGAAGAGATTTTGGTATGGGAGAGAAGAAGAAAGCAAAAGGATGTGGAGCTTCTGGAGGGGTGGGTGAGGATGAAACTGAAGGTGGACAGAAGGACACAGAAAAGGGGAGACTCAGACTCTTGACGATGAACTGTCCTGACTTCCCAATTTTGCTAACAGTTAATCCAAAGGAGAGAGTTCATATTTAGGCCAAAATAAAAAGCTTGGGCCTGGTGCCTTCTGCCTCCAGTAACCCAACTTTCTCTTTCTTGATATCCCACTCAACACTATTTCAGATTCAATGACCTGGTTGCTTCAGCCTTAGTACTGCAAGTTAACAAGATCTTCAATGAAAATGATGTTGCACTGATGAAAGCCAAAGCAAATATTATCTACAAGCTCTTCCTTGCGTCTGAAATTCCTCCCAAACTACGGGTAAGAAGGGACCTAAGCTCAACTCTGATCTGGTTGGCTTCCAGTCTCAAAACTTCTGATGGCAGAAAAGAAAGAGGCACTAGAGGAAGGAGAGTAGCACTTTCTTCCTTAGGAGTGGACATCAGACTATGACTCACCCAGCAGTGACATAAATTTCCTTTCCTTTGGGTAGGTGAATATTTCTGAAAACATGAAGGACGCTGTCCACAATGCAGTTACAGATGGGCACCTGGATCGCGCCACCTTCTATGGATCTCTCATGACAATTTTCCCTATTATTATGTACTTCTGGAAAAAGTAAGTATCTCCTTCAGTGCCATAAAGCTGGAATGGAGCCAAATTTAACTACCTTGTTTTAGAGATGGGAAAAGTGAGGACAAGAGAGAAGAGACTTGTGTAAGGTCACAAGTCAAGTCAGAGACAGAATCAAGACTTTTTGTTTTGTTTTGTTTTGTTTTGTTTTTTTCTTAGGATGGTTATAAGCCAGGCAATCTTCATTATCTTTTTTGTTTTTGATAAGTGTTTTATCTCTTTTTTAGGCCTCCTTTTCAGATGTTCCTATCTTATACCTGGAGCAGCTAGGTGGCACCATAGTGCATAGAGTAACAGGTCTCAAGTCAGGAAGACTCATCTTCCTGAGTTCAAATCTGGCTTCGGGCACTTACTAGCTAGGTGACCCTGGGCAAGTCATTTAACTCTGTTTGCCTCAGTTTCCTCATCTATAAATTGAGCTGCAGAAGGAAGTGGCAAACCACTCCAGTATCTTTGCTAAGAAAACTTCAAATGGGATGACAGAGTCAGACACAACTGAAATGACTGAACAACAACAAAAAAAAAATCTTACATTTGAAGAAATTTCTTTACCTTTCATCCCATTCTCTTTATGCTTGTCATTGCCCTATTCTAAACACTGACAAATAAGTAAATGAGAGAGACAAAGAGAGAGAGAGAGAGACAGAGAGAGAGAGAGACAGAGAGAGTATGGGCTAGTGATCATGGCCCTACACTATAAGTAAGGAGGTGTGATTTTTTTTGCCCCAGTTTGAATGAATGAAAAAGCAGTCATTAAGCACTTATGATGTTTCAAGTGATAGGCTAAGTGCTGGAGATACAAAATGGAAAACTGAGACAGTTTATCTTTCAAGGAATTCAGACTCTACTTGGGGCAGATAACACATAAAAGAAAATTCAGCTTCAGGGCAGATGTCAAGGCCCAGGCGTCCTTAAGCTTCAACAGTAGATTAAATGACAATTGACAGGACATAGAGGCAAATCAGATAGTAAGATCTGAAGAAAGGAAAGAAACAAGCATTAATTAATTTACTACTGTATGTCACACACTGTACTAAGCATTTTACAACTATCATCTCACTTGATCCTCAAAATAACCGTAGAAGGTAGGTGCTATTATTATCATGTCCATTTTGCATTTGAAGAAATTGAGGTAGACAGAAGTTAAGTGATTTACCCAGAGTCACATAGCTAGTGCCAGGCCAGGTTTCAACTCAAGTCTTCTCAACTCCAGACCCAATGCTCTATCCACTGCACCATCCAGCTAAAAAACCTTAGGACGCAGTGGTCAGTCAAAGAGTAAGGATTCGTGGCCCTCCATCTCACTGAAAGAAATAGAATTGATGACTTCTTATTCAAGCCTGTGAACAGTTAAATAGTACATGTGAATTCTCAGGAAGCCTAGGTGAGGGGAAAGGGGGCAACATATTTGTCGGAACAAGCTCATTAACATCTCTAAATTTCATTTTCTTCTACTATAGGATAAATGAGGATAGCAATATTTTTCTCAAAACAGAAATAGTATCAAGCACTTCTAAAAATATGATTGTTTATAGTTTGCCTTTTTCTTTTGAGAAATACTCCTTTATTATTGTCTTGTCTGAGAGACTTGCACTCTTACTTTTAAAAATTTACCTAAAGCAAAATAGATTCTTCTCCAGTCCCTCATTTTCACCCTCTGAATCTTTGTTTTCAAGTATGTGTTCTTCCACCTCTCTTCTTTACAAAGAAGAAGTAGAAGGAGAAAGAGAAACTTTTTGATCAATATTAGTAATCTGTCATTAAAAAGGTCTATTCCTACTCTTGCCTCCTCTGTCTTCAAGGTGAGACCTTCATCTCTAATTCTTAGACTTTTTAATCTTCTTTTTATGACCAGTCCTCAAAGTTAAAGTTTGTTTTGTTTGTGACTACTCCCTGCTTCAATCTGCTCCTCTTCTTAATGTCCCCTTTCATTTTCCTGTGCCCATCTTTATCTCTATTGAGTTAAATTGATATTTCTATACCAAACTCTGTGTGTTAGCCTGGTTCAGATAATAGTGAAGAACGGATGACTACTGTCCTTTTGGAAAATCATAGTCCAAGATTTTCTCTGTTTTGTTATAGTTGCTGCCAAGTCTTGTGCAGTCTTGAATTGTAATTCCTTGATACTTGAACTTTGTCTTTTTGGATGTTTCTGGTATTTTTTCTTTGACGTGGAAGCTCTGGGTTTTGACTGTGACATTTCTGTACACTTTCAGTTTGGGGTTTCTTTCAGGAGATGAACAAAGGACTCTCCTGATTTTTCACTTCTTGAAATATGTTCCTCAGGAAGTTTTTGTTTGTTTGTTTCTTTGTTTGATTGTGGGTCGAACGAGATAGCAAATGTAAAGTATCTTAGAAAACTTAAAGGGCTTTTTAAATTCCATCCATCTATCTATCTTTATTACTATTATTAGCCATTATTATCATGGTTTATAGGGAATCTAATGATTCTTAACTTCTCTTTCCTTGACTTGTTTTCCAAGTCATTTTTTATAGTAAATATCTTATATTTTCTTTTTTTGAAATAATAAGCTATATAATATAATAATAATAATAGCTATATTTTACATAGTGCTTTAAGATTCACAGAGTGATTCACAAATGTTTAGTCAAACATTTTCTCTTGCCTTGTGGAGCCATTGAATTCTTTTTGTTCTGTTTTATTTAATTTTTTTGATGTCTCTACTACTTCAGTAAGGTTCCACTTCTGTTCTAAACTATTATTCTGCTTTTACTTTTTTTCTTTCTGAGCTTTCATTTCATGCCTAATTTCATCTTTTATTTCTTACTTCATTTTCCAGGTACTTTTGTAGACCTTGTGCCCAAATCATTTTTCCCCTCTGAGGTTCACCTTATACTTGTGAGATTATTCTCTTCTTCTGGATTTATCTCTGAGGCTTCTCTTAACCCATAATATTTCTTTATTGTGTTTTGTCTTTTCTTCTTTTTTGATATTTTCAGGCTTAGCTCTTGGTTTGGGATTTTGAACACAGGTCAGTCCACTCCAGATAGGGGTCAGCTCTGTTTGACCCTTCAACTGCTGATGCATATTCAGTTTGGGTGGCTGAATTTAGATCCTACTCTCTAACTCAATTTCAAGATTCTGTCTGAGTCTCCTGATAGTCTACTGTAGGTTCTGGCTTCAGGAAATTAAACTGATTCTCTATCATTTTATAATCAATTCTATTCTGTAATTGATCCATTTCTGTATTACTGCCCCATTTTGAATGATTATTCAAGCAACATTTCTTTGTCTTTTTGTCTATGAGCTAAGTTTAAAAGTTCATCCTTCTCCTCTGAGTTAAGTTAAAGTCATAATTAAAGAGAAAAACTGTTATCTGCTACTCCTGCAGTTCCTGAGAAAATTCTAGGACATCTGTTTGCTATCTTTAAAGGCCTACGGGCTGGCCTAGTATATTTCCACAAGATATATTATCCATCCTTGCATGTCCTCGTCCAATTAAGGAGGGTCTTCTTCTTAGGAGCCAGGCAGTCTACTATCCCTGGTCCACTAACAACTTCCTCAAGATGCTGATGGGTCCCACAAATCAATCAAGCATTTCTTAATGACAGAAACAGATGGTTGCTAGCCCCATGTAGATGCTAGCCCACTTTCTTTGATGTAACCAATTATGTTGTCCTCACTCCCATGAAGCTGTCAGCCCTATAACCTTTCACGTTGTCTTCCCCATCTACCCACTTCTGTTCTTTGTTCTATGTTTATGAAAAGGAGCTGTGCATCCTACTCTGGGTCATTGACCTAACTGAGGTAGCCACTGGACCCACTTTATTAACAGATTCATACCCTGCTAATAAACTGATAAAGCTCAGAACTCTGTACTCCAATTTACCTTTATTAAACCCTATTAGACAATTAGGGGCTATCTAGGATTAGGGGAGAAAAGTTGGTCCCCAAAATAGCTTCTCAAGGGAACCCCCCTTTCTTTGAGCCCTCCCTAGTAAAGTTTTTTCAACTGAAGTGAGGTTTCTCTTAGAGAATTAAAGCAAAAACCTGATTCTCCTCTTGACCTCAGATTCCCAAGCAATTCCTTCTGAGCTTAAGGTAAGCGCTGTGTTGGGAAAAGCTGCAACTTTTTGTCTGTTTATGTCTGTCTTTGGGATGCTATTTATGTTCACTGTGAGCATTTAGAAATAATTGGCAATGTAAAGACCCAGAAAAATCCTTGTAGGTACTTCTAAAACTGTGGGGAACTTTTTGATTCTCCAAAAGAAGCCCTTAGGTCAAAGCAAGTGAAGGTCTAAAGCAGGGCTGCACAGTATATGGCCTGTGAGATTTCAGGCAACCATGAAAATGTAGAGGATGTGAAAGAAAGTAAAGATGTGATGAGTGCTTTGTCTGTGCCCAGCCTAACCCACCTTCCACTAGTCACTACTGAGCCCATCATGTAACGTGGTGGGTGGATTGCCACTTTGGCTCTCTCCTTTTTGTCACGTGACTCACAGCAACCAACCCATCTGCAGTCTGTCTCTACTCTGAGAGGAGTGAATCGTATCTTTTTTTTAATATTAATTTATTTTGATTTATCAACAATCACTTCCATATGCTTTTGAGTTTAAAATTTTTCTCCCCCTTCCTCCCCACCACCCTCCCCAAGATGGCACACAATCTAATATAGGCTATACATTTACATTCGTATTAAATATATTTTCACATTAGTGATCTTGTAAGTAAAAATTAAAACCAATGGGAGGAACCATCAGAAAGAGGAAACAAAACTCAACAGAAGAGAAAAAAAATAGCAATTCAACTTCCATAGTTCTTTCTTTGGATGTGGATAGCATTTTCCATCACAAGGCCTCTGGAGATGTCTTAGATCCTTGTATTGCTGGAAAGGGTTAAGTTTATCAATATTAGTCATCACACTACATGGCTGTTATTGTGTACAACGTTCTTTCAGTTCTGCTCACTTCACTCAGCATCAGACCATAACAAGTCTTTCCAGGTTTTTCTGAAGTCAGCCTGT